CTCGGCCGCTTCTTCCCCGGTGCTTTGTGATCCACTCGCAGCCTTTGGGTTGCTTTCAGTCAATTCTGTGTTCCTGACTTTCTCTACTTGTTTCGTGTCGTGAATCCCAAATCCTGCTCAAGTTGGGCATCAGCGCCGGCTGCCTCATGGGGGTAGATGTGCTGTTGAATGTGCTGCTCTGAAATGTCTTCCCGGAGCTCGAGGTGGCTCAGGGATGCAGAGATGTTCCCCTTTTCCTGCTGCACATGCACAAACCTTCCCAAACCATCTCAGCAGGGTGCAGGATTCTGGATGCACACTAGAAAAACACCCCTTCAGCCTACACCAAGAAAGCCATGGTCCTGCCTGGCTCATAAATACCATAATTTTAAACCCTTATACCCTACCTATTGGAAGTTGCACTTGCTATCCAGGTAAAGATCCCCTGGGAAAAGGGAACGTGCTGAAAAAAACCCCAAGTGACTCGAGCCAGATGCTGGGCGTTTTCTCCAAAGCTAGCGATTTGTGATTTGCTGCTGACAGCATGAACTGGTGTTAAGTTATTAAATTGCAGATGAGCTCATCACTTGGCCTCCAACAAGTTTCAGCCTTGAGTGGCTTTAAAATATTACATGTGGTGGAAAAGAGACAATGCTGGTGTGGCAGAGAGATTTAGGGAGCAGCTGAGAAAGACATCTGTGCATAAAAAATGTGTACCAGGAGGGAGGAGGGAATACTTCATGTGAAAAATGTAAGCTCTCCCAGGAGAGAGGAGGAGAAATTCTCTGATTTATTGGTTCTACATTTTAATTTTAGCTTAAGACAAAATTGTCAGAGTTTTGAGATGCTTCAAGAGAAGTGGCAAGATGCTAAGCCTGGTTTGATCCTCAAAGATCCCAGTATGTCAAGAGCTGCGTGTGTGGGATTACCTCCACCGTGCCCCCAGACCGGCTCCTTCGGTAGTGCGTGGTGTTTGCCAGCAATGCCATATGACCATGGGCCAAATCCAGCTCTTACTTGATGTCTGCTTAATCCTAATGTTGAGCTTTACCAGACAGGGAATGGAACATCCACACTGCTGTTAGGAGAAGTGTTTCCCTGAAAGAGCGAGAGTTTCCTTTGGGGAACTCCCTGCTCTACATTATCTGTGCAATTTCTTTTTCTCCCTTTTTTTCCTCTTGCAAAGGAGCCCGAGCTCCTGAACCCACCCGGTTGTGTGCCATCACCTGTGGATCCATGCGCTGCAGAAATACATGAGGAGGAAGATGGTCTTGAACAAAGGAATTAGTTTTTCCGGCCTAATTAAACCCAACCATGCCGGAGCAGCCTTGGTGGGCTGGCATGGCCATCACAGTGCTGCTCCTGGAGAGCACAGCACACGCCCTCATCTTAGCTCTAGATCTCAATGCTGAGATTAATTCTTTTTTTTTTTTAAGTGCCAACTTGGCAGAAGCTGTGGGATAGTTCATAAATCAGTTCAGCCTCTGTATTTTTCAAACTAGGGATGTTTGCAATCAGTGGGCGCATTGGCCAGTTGGGTTTTGTGGCCAGTTGGGTTTGTTGTTTTGGGGCTTTTTAGGTGCTCCTGGCAAGGGACAATAGCCCTACCTGTGTGGGTTTTTTTAACTGTCTTGGCTCTTTTTTACCAAATGGTGTGTTTGCAGTCAAAGCCGGTGTTAACGCACTCAGTGCTGCGGTGCTGCCCCTAAAAATAACAAGGAAACCAGTACGCTGAAGACTTGACACCTCGTTTGTGGCGTGAGCTGTAATTGCATGCAATGCGAGATCCCTCTGGCTGCTACAGCCAGTGTCTGAAGGCAGAATAGATTTTTTTTTTTTTTTTTTTTTTAAAGGGAAGATGATAATTTTCAGCCTGTCTGAAGTCACAGAGCATCAGCACCTACAACCAATGTGCCTTCCCATGTGGTTCATTGGGGCTGGAGCATCTCTGAGCTCAGGACAGGCTCCAGTTTATTGCAAGAGTGTTATTGGCTTGGATTTGCTGTATTAAAACACTGGGGGCAGGAGAAAGGGAACTTTGTCATGTAAATTATTAACAAATTGCGTGTGTGGCTGTCAATGATGAGCTGCAAACTGCAACCCTGGAGCTCGGGGGGAATCGGCCGGAGGAAGGCTGTCTTGGGGTGCTTTTAACACACAGCTAAACCCATCATCATCAGGACTTGGGGACAGTCCCCACCCTCAGCCACGCGTTTCTGTCCCAATCTGTGTCCTGGGTCTGACAGGGATCATGGATTTCTGATAGTTGAAGCTCCTGAATTGTATTTCTATTTTTCTGCCTGGTCCTTATCCGTGTGTACGGGTACAAAGGGAGATTACTTAGATCTGTGGTTATCTTCTTTTTCCCTTTTTTTTTTTTTTTGAGTTTTTAGACCATATAAAGCTACTTTCTTACTGCCATGTTGATTTTTTGATTTCCTACAACAGCAGCTATATCCAACCCTACTGCACTTCTACTTGTTTGGGCAAAAGCTGCATTTATACTGTGAGGGCTGTGAGCTGCGGTGCTTTGGCTGTAGCAGATATTTGAGATGGACTCCTTCCTCACATCTGCAGGGCTTAACATCTCACTGAGCTGCTCTGCTCAGCTCTGTAAGGGAGATAATGCCTCTGTGTGATGCCTTCCTTTTAAATGCATCCTTTCAAAATGTAAGTACCTGCGGTCGTGAGTGATAAGTGCAATTTGTGTTTGTGAGATGTTCTAATGTCCTCACATGGCAAGTTCTGCAGAAGTGCAAAATGTTCAATAAATAACAAGTTATTAGTCGAAACTATAAATAAAAAGAGAGTCAGGAAGGCTGCTTTTTGCAGGATGATTGTGAATAAGATTGTCCCAGCCCTGTGCTATGTGTCAGACATTTTTCAATTTTTTTTTAATTGAGTTACTTAGACTGAGACTCCCACATGGCCAAATGGCACCTTCCTATTACTGGCACCTTTTAAATAACTTTTATGTTTTGGTTTCCCCAGCTCCACATGACAGCACTCCCTGCCCTCAGGGTCCCCTCCTGTATTTCATCCCTGTAGCCGGTTTGTTTTCCCTAAGAAGACAAGCAGAGCACCAAATGCTTTCCCCTTTATGCATCTTTCTTGCATTGCTCATTCCTTCTTCACCTGAAACTTCCATTTCATTTTTGCAGCTCAGCAATTTTCAGCCTGAAATTCTTTGTAGAACTGGACCAGTTTGGTTTGATGGCATCATAATTAATCCCTGGGAGCGCTGCCATTTCTGGGCAGCAGGCCTTTTCACCCCCAGACACACATGTGTTTTCAAATATCATGAAACTCCTCATGCCAGATGCCACCAGCTATGTGGGAGGAGGACTTGGCATTTGATGCAGTTGTGGACAAGTCTTTGTCTGCAGCGTGGCTGTTCTTGGGGGTCAGGAGTAATTTTTCTCACTGCTACTGGAGATACAGATATGAGCTTTTCGTCATTGCCTGATTTTTCATGGATAGTTGAAATGATTCCTCATTTGTGCTGGGTTTTGGTTCAAGAAGCAGGAGCAGACACTCAGAGCTGGACCAGTTCCACCAGCTTACAAACCCAGCTCCCCTTGCCACTGAGGGCTTGAAGGACCAGAGGTTGTGACTTCCTACACAAGTGTTTGCACTGGAGCAACGCTGGTGGTCAGTTCTTCCGTGCCAAGTTACATCTCCACTATTCAGTGGTGGCTATCAAACAACTGCTTCCACGTTGTTTTGGTAGCATAAGGGCTCTCTCTTGCCAAAATGCATGGCAGAGTGGCAGGCAGGTCTCGGTGTGGGGCTGTCCCTGCCCACCGAGTCTTGTAGAGGTCATCTGGAAAGTAAATGCCTTGGGGTAGGTGTGGTGGTGTCTCTGCTGTGGGAAGGTGGATGCGTTACCCAAAGGAGAGACGAATTTCCTAAAATGCAGACCCATGGGTCTTCATTTTGCTAAATCCCATCCATACCAAATAGAGGAGGCTGCTTCTGGGCTTCATTTTTTAAGAGTGAAAGCAAGCCTTTGAAGAGAAATACACATCTTATTCCTTTCAAAAATAAAAGGCAAAAGGAAAATGGCTTGCTTAAGCTCACCCAGTAAGGCAGGCTTGGAAGATGAGCCAGGTCTCCTGGAGCTCCGGTGTTGGACAGGACCTGTGAGGCACATCTCCTGGATGGACTGGCTCTGGCCATCCTATGGGGTGGCAGTGGACCTCGCTGCAATGTGCGTTCATCTGAGAGGAGTTCTGTCCTATCCCCGATCGGCTGCTGCTGAGGAACAAAACATAGCAGAGATAAAATATTTGAAGTAAAAGGAGTACACTATATATAACCCTTCCCCTCCTCGCCCCTGTGCACTAACATATTTCATACAATGATGAGTTGTCTGCCAAAATTCCTCAAATTATTATGTCTAAGGATTGTAAATCATAGAAAATAGTCTTGGAGGGGACCTCAGGAGGTCTGATCCATCCCTAGGGCAGGATCAGCTTGATCTGAACTGTTCCTGACACATCGTTGTCCAGTCTCCAGTGACAGACCCTCCACCCCTTCCCCAGGCAATCTAGTCCAGCACTTCACTCTTCCCAAAACCCCCCAATTTATCCTCCTGTTTCCATTGCTGCAATTTTAGGTTCATTCTTTCCTCCCTATGCACAGCAGACCTGGAGCACATCTATGCTATATTTATTCTCCAATTCCAGTTTCATGCTGATCAAGCTGTCGTGTTCTCTGGAGTCATCTTTGATTTTACGTTGTTGCAAGCATACTGTTTGGTGGATTTATGGCTCGTGAGTGGCATGAGGGTGTTTATCCTGCAGCCCTAACGCCTCTTTGCAAAGCAGATAAAGCATAGGAGTGCAGCTTGCACCAGGGTGACATGCTTATGTGTCCCCTGCTTGCATTGGGTGCTGGTGGGGATCACTTTCTTCTTGGCTTCTTCATGGGGAGCACCAACGTGGGCTAATTTTAAGATCTGCGCTAGCACTGGCTTTTGTAGCACGTCTAATATTGCTCCTTTACACTGTTTTCTGCAGGACTTAGGAATGGAGTCGACCTCTCTGGATGACGTCCTCTATCGATATGCCAGCTTTCGAAACCTGGTGGATCCAATCACTCATGACTTGATCATCAGCCTTGCTAGATACATCCACTGCCCCAAACCGGTAGGTACTATGGTCTCATCACACCTCTAAAACTGTGCTGGCTAGGAAAATGGTCTGCTGGGAGTGTAGAGCTTCTCCCTGAGCGCCAGGGAAAAAGCCTCCCGGTTACTGCTGTGCTTGTGTGTGTTTGGACGAAGAGGACCTGCTCAGAGATCGTGGTTTGATTCCACAGTATCGGGCTTTCCAGCTGACCAAGGCTGCCATTCACCTAATGTTAGTACTTTGAGTGTTAGCACTTTGTTTTGCAAATTATTTCTGCTTTCTGCCACTTTGTGTTTCTGTGTTAAAGACCTTACCCCATCAGGAACACTTTTGGCCTCGCAAGGATAACAGACCGTTCCTCGCCCTTGTGCGATATTTATCCTGACCCCAAATGACGAGAGAGTCCTTGGCTGTGCCTTCAAGGCTAGGTTTCCAAAAAAGCTCAGCCTCCATGGGCTGCAGTTTGGGCTCTGACATGAGCAGGTTTCTCTGTGAATGTAGCCCCAGGCAGATGTGGGCTTTTAAAACTCTTGGCCCCATTTGCTCGCTGGTGGCTATAGCAGCATAAGGGCTTTTGAAAATCCCAGGCTGGCTCCATCCCTTCCATGGTAAATGTGACTTTGCATGGTGGCCACTGGTTGTTTGGATAATGAAGGTTTCTTTCCCTAAGCTTTCTTTTAAATAAGCAATACTGTCAGTATCTGATTTGCAGAGCAGCGTAGGCTTAGAAAGGTGTGAAATGTCTGAGCTCTCAAAACACACTGGATAAGGAGGAAGAGCGGGAAGAGAGAAGACCGAAAGCTCCCAGACAGCGATCGCGGGAGATGTAGGTGGCATCAGATGTGTGGGGATTTTTGATCTCTTAGTCCTCCTGTGCTACAGTTCCCTACCTGTAATTTTGGGAGGATGGCACTAAATTGATGTGATGTGTCCTAGCACTACAGTCACGGTGACATGTCGTGCACCAAAGATGAAACAGTTGCAAATATCTGAGATATGCACCTTTCAGAGGAAATACCTTTCTTCTGCAAAGCACCATGCAGGCTGTAGGGCAAGCGGGAGCTGTCGTCGGTGATGCTCCCTCAACTCCTCTTGAAACTCCCAGGAATGGGCTTCCTCCTAAAGAGACATTTCTGTCCGTGTTTCATCTTGGCTGGTACAGGTCCGAGTGTGGTGGGGGAGCTGAAGGCTCATCTATCATGGTTGTGTTTTCTTCTCACCTGCATGTTGCTTGTCAGGAATTAAAGTTACATTTAAAACAAATGGTGTGAATTGTAGGAAGACGTTGAGTGATGTTTTCCAGTAAGCCCAAGGGAGGGTTTGCATGTCTTCATTGTAACAGCTTCCCTGGGAGTGTGGGAGCTGCTTGGCTTCCCTGAACTTGCTGTCTGGAACCAATAAGCTACCAAAAAGTTCACTTCAAGCAAAAAGGGAGCCCTTCCACCCCCATAACCTGCATTTGGCTCTGGTCACGCTTGCAGATGTGTTGGAGCTCTGTTTGAGGGCCACCAGGAACCACCTCCCAACACACTCCCTCCTTGCCCTCCAAACCCTTCCCATGCCTTTTTGTCCTTGGCAAAGAGCTTCCTAGAGCAGCGCCATGGCATCAATCATCCAGGTTCATTACAGCATGTAAGACTTCGTACACTGACGTAACCTGGAGCGGGGAGGAGAGGTGCAAATGCCCCAAGCGGGGTGCGTACCTGACGTTTGTGGGTCCATCCCTGTGATGCAGGGGGGTGCCGTCCTTTCTGCAGCCCTCCTGGAGGGCAGCACCACCAATGTCCCAGCAGCATCTCAGGGAGGGGACATTTGAGCAAGACCCAGCCACTGTTGGAGATCACACGGTGAACCCCAGATATTTTTTAGATGTTCCTGGAGGGGATGTGTGTATCTCCCAGCAGGTCCCAGCGAGCTCATCAGACCTCTGAATTTCTGCCAAGAGTACACTTGTTGCACTCTGTATCCTTGGATTTTGTTGGAGGGAGGGTTGGTTGTTTGTTTTTCCCTCCTGGAGACAACAAACTCAGAGCTGGCTCATCTGTTTTCGTCTGTGCTGCTGAACTGCAAGGCGTTTACCCATCTCATGCCTCCTTTTATTTGCATGTGGCATTTTTAAGCTCTTCTTGGGAAGGGACCGTCCATAAGTGTGATGTACCTGGTGTGATGGGCCAGGGGTCCCAGCTGGGACCTGGAGGCATCACTCTCCTGTACTTAGTGCTAATAATGGGTCTTTAATTTCCTGTAAGAGTGTATGAAGGAACAGAGTCATTCACTGCTGTTTCGTGTGGATGTTTACTTAATAATAGCCTCCGCTGCTATTTAAAAATGAGGGAGATTGCTTTTTTTAAATATTTAAACAATTCTTTAATTTTGCTGGGGAAAGGCTGTGGTGATGCTCGGGGTGTGTCTGCCTGGGCTACAGTGTGAAACTGGCTCTGGAAGTGCTTCATAAAACTCTCTACACTCAATAAACTGTGTTGGGAAGGGCGGAGCGAGTGCAGCAGTGTGCAGACATGGCTTGGGGACATCAAGGACCCAAATCTCCATCCCTAGACTGAGGAAGGATGTCCCATGTCCTACAGCGTGAGCTCAAGATACAGTCACATCCCTGTGCTGCGTAGCTAAACCTCTACAAGGATACCAATATATCCCTTTCCCTTTTCTTATGGAGAATAAGATCCTTTCCTCTCTCCTCCCCCATGGGGCAATGAGATGGGAAACTGGAGAAACCTATTTTGACGGGCGTGTTTCCAGGCAGAGAGGCCCCGTTCCCCCGCTGAGGTTACCCTTTTCCAAAGCGTCGTGACTAAGCTGGTTTCTCCTCCATGTTTTGCCCTGGGAGACTAATGGTGAGCTGCAGCCAAGTGTGCGCTTTGCAGTCCTCATAAAAATAACCCGAGGCCGCTCATGCAAAGGCGAACTGCTCCGCTGCCGAATACCTGCTTTCGCATGTCTCCCTGCACGTTTCTTTTGGCACTAAAGGCCGTGAAGAAGTTAGCGCCAGTGTAAGCAGAGAGATACAAACTCCTAATACTGAATCATGGGCTTCTAGCAAACCGTGGTGGTAAAACATGCAAACACAAATCCAGCCCATGCAGCACTGAGGTTCTTCTTCTGCATGAGATGCCGCTTGTTGGACGCACTTGGTCATCTCTCCCTCCTTTGCACAGCTCGGGGTTTGCACCACGCAGTTGCTTTGGTCCCAGAGCAAGGGATGGCTTCTCCGGACCAGCGGTCCCGTACAAGGCTGCTCTGGGAAACGCTGGCAGGTGGCACGTGTTCGCGTGAGAGCGGCAACAGCTGTATTAATACAGCAAAGAAAATATCGCCGTATTCTGCCGGGCAGTGAGGCGCTCCGTCAGGGAGCCACAGGGGCTCGCGGACAGTTGCTAAGCCCTGGAGCATCCCTGGGAGATTGACGGGTGTTGCCTTGGAGTGGAAAGCAGGGATCGTGCAGGTGACAGACAGCAAGTCCAGCAACAGCAGGACCGTGCTGCAGCTCCTGGTCCGTGACTTAGCCTTGCTTGGGCTTTGGGTGCTACCAGCTGTGCTTTAAACCCTCTTTGTTCTGGCAGCTCAGGATGCTGGGTGAAAAGTAATTTCATCCCAGTGTTTGGTGGTGTTTTTCTGAGACACTGATTTCCTTTATGTCCCCAAAACCCTGCATGCCTTAGTCACCTGGGTTATTTTCCAGCATCCAGTCCTCTTTCTCCCCAGACCACTTTCCCTCCCTGCAGTTTCTTTGACAGAGACTTGGCAGCGGCATACAAGAGCAGGAGAAAGCTCAGGGCCAGGAGTGTTGAAGAAGTTTTGGCTTTTGCTCTGCCTGCTGAAGGTACGCCATTGCATCCCGTGGCACGAATATACATGAATATGTAGGTTGAGGCAGCTGTGAGCTTGCCCACGTCCGTGCAGAGGTGGCACGGATGGGGCTGAAGAACGGGACTGACCTGGACCCTGGTCCCTGTTAACCTGCTCTATTAAATATGTGTCTGCTCAGGGTTATGGGGTCTTGCTTTCCTCCTCCCTCCTGGAGAGAGCACTTCCTCGACTTTCTGTACGTTGCTTTTTTCACTCAGCCTCTATTTATACCACCCTTAGCTTAAAGGTGACCCCTTGGTCTCTCCTCTGAGCTAAATAAAAGTTGAATTGTTTTTCCAAGTTCTGGGTAAACATGTCCTGGTCTGTATGGCCAGAAAAAAAGTTGGCCTGGGCTCTCCAACGTGGCTGCGGCTCAGCACAGTTCAGTGGATGCTTATTCCAGCAAGTAAATTCAAACCAGCAGCAAGGCAAAAAATTTAACTTGTGCTGGAGGAGCCTGGAGTGCTTTGAATGAGCCCGAGTGCGGAAATTGTTTGGGTGAGCTTTCGTATGGATGTCAGGGTATGTCGTGCAAAGGCTGGATCATGTCTCTCCAGACCCCGCTGAGATCTCAGCCTTCCCCGAGGCGCTTGTGTTCGGGTGACTTTTGCTAAAGCAGCCAAGTGAAAACTCTTTTCCAGATCACTTGGAAGTCAGGGTTTGGATTTGGTCCCGTCCTTACTTACAAACATATAAGGGAGTTCAACCGAACCCGGGTGTCTTGAGTACCCCTTCCCTGAGGGGCCAGGACGCGCCTGCAGCACAACCACGCGGCGTCTCCAGAAATGCCGATGGAGCCGTGCGAGAGCAACCGCCCAGCTCTGGCTGTGGCTTGCCGGGTTGCTATCTGGTGGGGAAGCTTTCAGGTCGAATAAATGCTGCCATTGCACGTGAACGTTGTGTTGAGTGGCGGCCGTAGATGTTGCACTTGGTATTTATCGCTTTGTGCAGCTATTGTAAACCTTTGCTCTTCAGGAAACTCTCATATTGTGCAGCAAGTTTTCCAACGTCACTTCAAGGGGGTGTTTGCATAGGATCAAAGACATTTGAACAAGTGTTTTCTTCCCCATGGCAATGACCTTGGGACAGTCTTTTATCCTTGTGCCTCTCTCAAACCCCAGCCCCGTGGAAAGGTGCCAGGCGGGCTCCTCACA